ATCAGCTAACACAGAACCTTGAAAAACACAAATTAAAGCCCTTGTCCCAAACTAGGACAATAGTGTTACTACATCCCATACAATTACCATGTGATATTAGTAATAAAAATAACAACTAGTACTTACGCTGGTCATACATTAGTAGGAATTTGTGAAAAAAATGTTTTTGGAGCATTCATTTATTATTATTATTATTATTATGTATTATTCAGGATTTATATCGTGCCAACAATTTGTGTAGCGCTTTACAATATAAGGAAGATGTTACAATTACAATTGAAATCAAGACAATTTGATATTCTAATAGTCGTGCTGGAAGGTTAATTGGCTCCTCTCTAAATTGTTCCTGTATGCATAAATGCATTATAGGGACCTTAGATTGTAAGTTACTTGAGGGCAGAAACTGATGTGAATGTGCTCTATGTAAAGCGATGCGTACATTTTCGGCGCTTTAGAAATACCTGTAATGTAATAATAGTCAATGGTGTCAAATCGATGATCGTTTAGGACCGAAGTGATTAAAGGTGTCAAAGGAGCAGGATGGAAAATGTTGTCCCAATGAAAGAAATTCTAACAGTGAATGTGGTTTTCATTCGGGGAACTCCATTCATTCCAAAATTGAATGTTAAGATTAAAAGACACTTCAGACGACATTTGTCAAGTCTCTGATGGCATTATGAAATGTTCTGATGAGATGAAAGTTCTTCCATTGTATTGCCGGCTTCATACATAAGATGTCAGGCTGCCAGTCACACTGGGCTACAATCTAACGCCTGTCAGCTAAAACTGATTACTCGACTAATTGCATGGTTGAACAGTCATTTACACCATGTGGCTGTGTGCGATCGTGTGCGATTTTCCACAATCTGGGTTCAGGGGTGGGTTACCAGATCATTTCCTGTACTTAAAGTCACACAGAATCGTGGCCCGATGCAACTATAGGTGGCTAATCTTAATGCCCCATTTAAAAGATATGAAGAAAAGGTCATGATGGATTTATTTGGAGCATTGTGCTACTGTCCCTCTGTCCCTGATCTGTCCCTGATCGCCAATCATGAAGGTGACCATACACTGTGCGTATTTTAGCCGGTTCTTGAGGAACCGGTCGAAATTTGCGCAGGGAATGCTGCTGTGGGCACCCTTTCGGCCGGCATCCCTCAATCAGCTCATTGAAGGAGCTGGTCAGAAAATCACTGTACGAACGGAGCCAGCAGCCAATGAATACAAAAGAAACAGCGGGGATTCCTCGAATGACGCACTCGGAGCGCTTAATGAAGGAATCTCCTGTGTATGTCCAGCTTAAGGAACTTAAAAAACAATATATTCCAAGTCAGGCAAGAGACAGCAGTCAAATGTAATCTAGCCACACACCTTACAATCTGATTGTTGAATTGTCTCTATATATACCAGCAACTATGTGGTTCAAGAATCAGCTTGATTGTATTGGAACTGGGTGCATATTTAGGCTCTTGTGTTCCATAGATTTGGTAAAACTGAAGAAGACTGCACAGAGCAACGGGTGCAAAATCATACATGGCCCTGTTTTGAAAACGCAGCACACCACACTGTATCAGACTCTTACGCATTTCACCCATCTCTACGATTAGTACAATTATAACATTTCTCTATAGCTATTGACCAAAGCCACCGATCGAGGGTCAACAACAGGACTACTGATTGGACACGTTGGAAAATGTTGTTTGATTGCTATGACATTTCCCCTGATAAGCTGGCTGTGGAGATGTCTTCAACATATTTCCCTGCTCTGCTCCATAGACATAAAAACAAGGCTACGCACAGACGTAAAACAAGCTTTCAGTGCCCAGTTACTCAGTTGTAGAGAGTTTTCTACAAACTATAGTTTCCTTGTTACCCAATACTCCCTGTGCAACATAACACACATGCTAGAGTATAAGGTCACATCGGAACCTCTGTAACATACCAACAATCAATTTAGATATTTCCCATGATAAACATAGGTCTATAGCCGGACAAAAAGCTTAATAAATGAAAAAATGACAAATATTAAAAAATGTAAACTCGAGGGACCATGTGGTCTGTATTTGCTGTCACCCTTCTATGTTGGATGTTGATGGAAGTCCAGATGGGTGAAATTAACACCTTCTGTTCCCCCCCATGATAGATGCACAAAATCTTCGCTATATAGTGCAGTGTGTTTCTGGCCCCGTAGACTTCAAAGAGAGTGCTCCTAATGACGTCCATAGGGCTAAAAATGCACCAAAAGAAGCATCAGCACCTTTCCAAATGTTGCACCGCACCATATTGCATTGATGACAACAGGCACCTTCATGAATAATGCGATTTCCATTGTCGTGCAGTGCAGACACAGGACTAATCCCACTAGAGTGAACAGGGGAGAGATCTACCAAGAGCTATGTAGCACAAGAGCTTACCTGACCCAACACTAATGGATTCTATAAGCAGGCCCTCACATTACATTGTTTTGATAAATACAAAGGAAATTGTCCAAAGATTGGACAATTAGATGGTAACACCAGGGCTTGATTTACCATTAGATAGAGTAAGCACGTGCCTACAGGCGTCCTCCATAGAGGGGTGCTGTCTAAGTACCTACTCTGCCTAAATCCCAGTGTTGTGTCAAGATATAACACCAGCAATAGCAAGAAAGGTGCAATTTGCACAAAATGCACAATCCTGCTCCAAGACCAGCGTTGCCCACAGGCACCGCCGGCTTCCGCGAACACAGGGGAAGGACCCCAGCGCTGTGTAAGACTGCCCTGTAAAAGCCTGTCTGGTGACCTGTAAAACGCTTCATTGTTGGTGCCTGCTTCATTGTTGGTGCCTGCTACAGATGGTTATTTTTTCATGTTGTATTATTTTATCACAATTAAGATTTTTAGTCAGTGAGATGCAGTTTCTTTGCAAATGATTCTAATTCTGCCAATCAGGTGATAAAAACTATGTTAAGGTGCCCATACACTGTGCGATTATCGCACGATAATCGCTGGAAATCCCGCGATCGTACGATAATCGCAATGTGTATGGAAGGCGTTTCTACTGTACGGTCGCACGTCTTTTGACTAAAGAGCATGTTCGAAAACCAGCCGAAAATCGTACGATTGTCGGCTGGTTTGTGGTATGCTCGGGAGACAAATGCCGAACAGGCCGGTGTGCGCACGCATTGCTGTCATCGGAAGCCCGCCCCTCCGCGGGGCGGGCTTGTGATGATCGCAAGTATGATCTGCCTGTCCAAGATGGGCAGATCGTACGTTTTTTTAAATTACTATACAGCCATCGCAAGACAAAAATCAGCTGTGTTAATACTACTGATAGACTGTATCATATATGTTCTACTTTAACTCTTCCCCAGCTGGAGCTAACCCCGCAGAGACACAGAGGATGGATGGTCTGTAGGTGACGGAGCATTACCCAATCTCTTCAATATATGGGAGCACTGACATACACTATATTGCCAAAAGTGGACATTCATTTAGGGCAGCCTTATGCAACGCTGGGGTCCTTCTCTGCATATGTGAAAGACGGCGGGTCCAACAGGAGGTAAGGGTGCTGGCTCAGCCGTGGGTAACACGTATGGCAAAAACCACATTGCCACAAGTATTGATCCAATGATCCGGAAATGTTTCATTTGCTCCATATAAGTTGCAAGTGTAGCGTTTCATGTACCTAAAGGCATCATATCAATGTTTTTTCCACCTATTTGTTTATTTGGCACACATACAATGTTCTCATTTGAGGATGTAGATTGTGTATTTGGATATATTGTGTATACAAAGGCAAGGAAATGGAACGTCAATGATGGAGCTCTATCACGTTGTGAATAGGTAAAGGATATGTTATAGAAATACTCTGGTTACTATTGCTGCTCTGTAACTTCATTATTTTAATTATTTAACGTCGGCAACTTTGTGCTGTATTGTACAAGCTGTGGTATGAATTCCCTTTGCAGCCATGTTTATTTAGGTGGCTGAAAACAAAAGGGTGGCATTTGTTACCAGCAGATGTGTTTATTGTGTCCGATTCTATACTTGATATACCTATTACCTGTCCACCTTGTTACACCTCCAAAGTCCCCACCTCCGCTGACATGTGTCATGCTCACCTCTCCATTATGAAGGTGCGTGTGCCTGGTAATGAAGTGTGTGCATAGAGGGGGTGGGGGGCTTTGTAATGGAGAGAACTTGTTATGGCTGGCCGGGGGTCTTTTGTGTTCCAATGAATAGGAGAGGGGGGTGTCAGCTGTATGCTAATAGCGGGCACCTGTCTATCTGACCCCAGCACACTTCAGCCTCACCTCACTTTCTCCACATCCTGCCTCCTAATATCACTCTGCATATCTATGGCTGTAAAAGGGTGACAATGTATATATATATATATATACATATAACAATATACGAGACCATGATAGAGCGTGCTTAACTATAAAACAAGGATTTATCCAAAGAGTCATCAAACAGTATAATAGAAGGT